TTAAAACCACGATCAAATGTTAGAAAAACATGTTTTTAACATAAGTTTTTTTTAAGTAAAAAAACAGGTTTTTTCAACCCAGGTCAATGCTTTATTTAATGATGACATATTATGATCTGCCTTATCATTCATAAGATTAAATTGTCGGGTGCCTATTCCTATAAATATGCACATTTTATGCACACTACACACTAATTTGTATAATATTAATAATATAATAATAATAATAATAGTTATGAATATGTATTTAATTAGTACACATCTAGATGAATGCGTGAGTGATTTCGAGTTTGTATGTATGTGAGCTGTAGTGAATTAATTGCCCGTGAACAATAAATGCAATATAATATTGTGTATATTATTATGTAAAATTGTATAATATAAATACATGTCATTGTTTGTGTTCACATGTAATATTATAATTATTTAATATAATTGAAAGACTTTAATATGCATATAAGTTGTACCTATATAGGCGTTACAAGGCTGCCAAAACGAGTCTTTTAAGTGATGTACATTGTCGAATAGTCTGCTATGCCATCGGTTGGTTATAAATTATAATTAATTTGATTAGATACACGTACTGGTTATTTTTAAGTCCTAGACGTTTAGGTGTACTCATAGTTGACTTTTATAAGGTATTCAAATTAAATACTTATTTCCTTACAGTGCTTAATAATATAATATGTTAAATTTCCTCGGTTAACATAACTAGTTCCATATCATAGGAATATTTATGTAAGTCATGCCATGACTTGCTGAATAGTTATATATCTAAGGTCTCCTAAAACCGAAGTATTAATTGGTAAATCATTTGAGTATTTCATATACTATAGTATAGTATAGCGACCATATATACAATGGTTATTACAACCACAATGAGTCAGTAAAGGTTTCGTATGCGTTCACTTTAAAAAAAAAACATACATAGTTAAACTACTAGAATATTAATAATATGTTTAAATATATTTTAAATTGCTCGTACTCTATATATATAAATGACCTTTCAAGAATCATCGATTTGAAATTTTACCTGGCAAAAATAAAAGGCTGCCAACAAATTGCCCTTTTATTGTTATCTGTCTAGGCTTCATACCGTTCGTTACCGGCAAAACGGCCAACAACTCTGTATAAGCTGACTAGTGACTATGGAATCGATAATTTTTTTGCCCGGATTCCAGCAATAAAATTGCATCTCATTGCAAAGAGCACTGAAAATCAAAAAAATAATATCATTATAAAAATCATAATGTTTGAATCGCCAGCGATGTGATTATTGGCACTCATCTCCAAACTGTCGACACGATTTTTCTAAAAATCGCCACAAGTGGCTATAGAATAGAGTTCACCATCAGCGACCGATATAACACCGTGTTTCCAGTGGTGTAAATTTATGATACATAAATCGTCGGGTGGGTGGGCGTCACAATTTTTTTTATCATTATCATAATATTATTAGATACGACAGTCGTAGTATACAGTATAGTGGTTATTGCAGTTGGATGCACAATTTTTTTTTTATAATTTCTCGTAAATGACTTGTGTGGCTAAGACTTGTTGACCTCCATAATATCATATACCACCGGCCCAACTACTTGCTATGAACACTGGGGTCTTTTGGGCCCGAGCAGATCGGTGTCGACTCATGACGCCACTGCATGGTGTATCCTCGATAAACTGCAGTAAATATTGTGCAATCGACCCGAATACATATTTTTATTGGAGGAGAAAAAAAACTGAGTTCAACACACAAGTGCCAATGTATTTACATATTTGGAGTTTTTGCTAAGATAAATCGGCCTCCCTAGTGTGAGCCTCTCTCGTCCGTCTTCCCCGGCCGTAGGTGCATTTTCACGGCGTAAAATAATACTACTTGTGTGACACGTCGGATCATTGTGCTGCCGACAGAGACGGCCGACGGCTCATGACTTATCTGGACCGAAATATTGATAAATATCTGATTCGCACTCGTGAAGACGTGTAGTGGTGATAGAAAAAAATCATATTTATGATTATGACGTTACTTGTCAGCGGTATGTGATATTTTTAATCAGCAGAGATTTCTCGATTTTTGAAGGAAATCATACGGATTACGGATATACCATCATAAAGTACGTACCTGTTATTACTAATTTGTAATGTAGAGGTATTGGTACTTTGTAAAGGTACGCGTTTAGCGCAATGCAGTGGGCCTTCATCGATTCCGGACATGATACGAAACATTGTTTAATATCGATAAATTACGAAACGATATAGGTAGTAGGTAATTAGGTATGTACATATAGATAATATAGAATGGATTGGCCATCCCTGTAGGCCATAATAAATAGCCCTTAGCGTTCCTGAAGTTAAGGTGCCCCATCGATACCGCACTGTTATACCTACCGGCTATACCAGAAGTAATCAATAGATAACCATTTCACCTTTATAACTATCCACCAATAATAATTGATAGCAATTAAATGAATACAACATTTGATATTTTGAAGTTTGAACAAAACAACTAAATGCATGGGCTTATGAGCATCTAAATTAAAAATGTACAACTAAAATTGATACGCATAAAGCCAGATTTGCAGCTGTGTCGGCTGCAGCGTCCAAAAGTTGAGGTCTGTGAACCCCGTTTATGTGTAGGTTAAAAAAATTCGTTGTAAAAGAAAAAATGACTTTTGTTTGTAGTACAAAAAATATATTACGCCGTAGATTATCATTCGGAAACGCCCAGGAAGGCTGATGGGCTATCCATTCTACGTTATCTATGTAATGGTACTATATTTACCATTAAACAGAGTTTGCCAAAATATGTCGATACCGCGAGGTTAGTCCAAAAAGCCGAAAGCTCAAAAAGAACGACTTAGACTCGAGCTGACCAATATGTCATATACTTACGCAGTTCACATTAAATCGATGATAGATGTAAGTTATAAATCCTGATAAGTTCGGCACGTTTAATTATTTAATTATATAACTAACTATAAAATAATTATATTATAATAATTGTATATTAGTATGTAATATAATAATGTTATATTAATCGTTAAAATGTTATTCTTATTATTAGACAATTAAAATATAATTGTACACATTTTCGAAACACTTTATTGTCGTTTAAAAATTAATTACATTTTTTAATTATTATTTTTACCAATTAGTTTGACCTGGGTGTATGGAGCCTAGACGACGTAAAGTATTATAATTTATAAATTAGTAGGTAGATATGTAGATTTTATAAGCAATCAGTATAAGTAGATATAAACTGAACATACACGAACATAATAATATGCAAAATGTTTCTATTTTGATTAAATCACAGGTAAAGTACGTTCTTCGCTCATGTATATTACAATATTAATGTTACACATATTTCGAATGTATTTTTAATCTTTAAAATTACTCATACGTAATACTATAGGTACCTACTATAGTTTATTCCTATCGCAGTTTTGTTCACGGTACGTTCAAAGAATTCATTACTATATCGATAATAATGCCTATTGGTAATTTTAAATCAACACAATATTAAATAATAATGCTTTTAAATATTGTTAGCATGAGTAACCGAGAGCATTTTCAAGTATTGAAATTTCGATGGAAATAATATGAAAATATGCAGAAATCCTAAAAAATATCGTTGCGGATAATCACCCGATTTTCCGTTCACATAATATTATACGTATACCAATACGTATATATTGTATAGGGCGTAAATAATATATATTATATATGTGTATACAGGGAAAACTATTGGACGTTTGTCGTCCCACCGTGACACGTCGCGTCGACCTATAATTTAAGCCCGTTAGACTTTCATCCCCCAACGGATCACCGGCTTTCGCCCTAGGATAGTATAGGATCAATCGCATATATATATATATAATAATGTTTTTATTGAATGTCACCAATTCAAGACGTCTAATAAAAACATCAAGAGCATAATATATTGTGGTTTGAGAATTGGTATGGGTTATTCTGTCTCAATATAGTGTCCACAATTTAAGATTAAATTACTATTTCTCGGAGCCTGCCGACAAAACGTTAAATCACAACGGAATCACAAGCGTGTTTACTATATTTTATACCCTGCAACGACGTCCTTAGTCTAATTTTTCGACGTGCAGGGTGGAGATAGAACTTAACACATACGATATTATAATGCAGTATATCAAAAGTGTGAAATTATTACCTGTTTGTATGAGACTGTAATTATTTCTGTGGGAATTCATATGCAGTTGTATTTGTATAAGTTATTTTGATCTCTATTAAAATATATAAATAGTGCACTAAGACTTAGACGGATTAGCATTTACAGTACATATTACTTATAGGTGCAACAAAAGTATTTAAAATAGTTAAACTGTGTTAAATTATATTACGAATACTTAATTGTCCTGTGTATTATTCTTGGGTTGAACAACTTGAACCTGATTTGTACATTTGGCCATTGATAAACGATGTGCTGTAACAGTATGCATTACAGTCCGGGAGAACTTAATAATGTGACCAATATTACCGATTTAATTACAAACCATTGAGAATTGTTTTATATTACACATTTTTCTGTACTATGAAAAATAATCTACTCGGGGAATGAACAGTTATGATTTTTTTGTAGGCAATAAATAATTATACAATTTTATTTAAAATATGAAAAAAAGTATGCCAAACAGGCATAATAAAAGTATTATTTTTTACGAATTCTGTAATCTACAAATCGTCCACATTTTTCACCCACATCGAGCTGCATAAATATAATATATGAAACATAAAAGCCGCTCTCCGCGGCATAACATTAGAATTTAGAAATAATATTATATATGTATACATAATAAAATAAATACCCACTTACCTGCAGAGTTACATAAAATCGATCATGTCAACAAATATAACCTGTCAAATGTTATTGTTCTACGCCAGATCAAGATAAATTGGACGTGCATATCACCCTATTTGTTTTGTATAATAATTCCTTATAAGAGAGGAAGAAAAAAATACTATTTATATTCAATAATTCAATACTGCAAAGTTATATTATGCAAAATATATTCTATTCACGACAATAACTTCATACGTCGTCCTGTACCTATCCTATACAAATAGTTCATCCTGTAAAGTATGATAATTGTTTATTTATATAATATATGTAATTATATAATGTATAAATATGTATGTGCATATGTCGTGCATGGGAATCGTACGATAAACGATTCAATATAGGTACCTATACGTAACTAACTATGTACGCTTCGCTAAATATAGCGCTGGCAAAAATGTCCACTTATGAAATGCAAAAAATGTTTTTCATTCTTTTAAATCGTATAATCTGTTTTGGAATTTGTTGGGCACTTTTCGTTTGTAGACGAACGGAGCTTCGACGCGTTTTATTCGTTTGTCTTTTTCAAACTTGTCGTGTGACCTCATCTCGATCAATAGCAAGAACCCTGGAGAAAAAAAAACAGCCGACCGTTGTGTCACGTACAGGTATAATAGTCATATTATTTTACATCGCGTGGAAATCGCGGGAAAATGTGTGAGTAGTGAGCACCTATATTATATATTTATATTAATAATTGAGGTACCTGCCAAAATCGAGCCGATTGCCAGCACGTAGAACGCTCCTTGTAACGTTTTCATGGACATGGCAATGGTCAACTGCTTGTCGTCGTCTTCTTGTCGGGGTTCCGATCCTTCCAGTACGGGCTCTATGACCACGGATGTCGAGTCGAATTTTTCCGATCCCATCAGTTTGTCGTTGAGTTTCTGGTACTCTTCTTCTGTGATTTTCGACAAAATTCCGCCCTCGAATAGTCGCATCAACCTATAATATAATGTGTCATAACCAATGCGTAGTTTATTCAAAATGTACATTATATAGGCATTAGGCACGCACGTTAGTACGAATTTCTTGCGCAATTTATACTAAATATATTATTCAGTAGTTAAATATTATGTTATATATACCTATTATGAGGAGTTAAAATTTAAGGTGAGACACGTTTAATTATATCAAAGAACCCAAATATGTTTGAAAATATTTCTAATACAAACACATAAATTGTTACAAAACAACTTTTTTTGAAAATAATAAATGTTTTATTAAATTTGAAGTTATAATACACTTTTTTGAACGACAACATACATTTTTAGTTTCATATATCGAAGCATAATATTGTTTAGAGTACCTATTTGAATCAATAAAAATCAAATTTTGGACAATTAGCTTATTAGTTTTTTATAACTATTTAAAGTTTTGATGAGCGAAGAAGTGGAACAAAATTGTGTGAGGTACCTATGTTACCATTCCACTTCACTCTTTGTTTAAACTTTAAATACTTTAACTCAACATTTCGATTTTTATTTTTAGAAATACTCCAAAAAAATATTGTTACGGAATAAGGAATTAAAAATGCATGTTGTCATTAAAAGGATAATAATAATAAAAAAAAAAATAAGTTTGAATAAGAAGATAATAATATTATATTAAACAAAAAAAAGTTGTGCGTAAATCCACAACACATTTTTATGGTTGTCTGAAGTTAGAATTTTGACAGAATTAATGAAATCACGAAAATATACGAATTATTTTTCAAAAATTCGTACAAATTTTTCTTTTCATTGCTAACATTTGAAAATTGAATACAAGATTTCTCATAAGTTTTTCTTATCATATATTTTGACAAAAGTTTACCGGATATTAACCTTTTTTTTTTCCGTTTGAACCGACAGCAGAGGAAGATCTGTGTGAACACTACTACTCCTCAACCGGACATTAACCTTTCCTAACCTATTTATAGGCATGAAAATTCATTTTTTTATTGTTTCATTTGATTATCTGTTCAAATATGCAATATGTTGACACACCGTCTTCGCTCAGCATCATTTTTCGTTTACAATAATTTATCATTGAATTCAAATTTAACACATCCATTACAATGTTATACTCGATAACTACTGCATAGAAGAGCCGTATCCACTTGTCCACCATTTTATTTTTAAATAACTTTTACTATTATTAATACTTCAAAATGTGATGACACAAAAATAAAAATATGATGACAGACACAAAAAAAACGAAGAAAAAAAGGAAAAAGTTGTACAAGTGGACGCCTCTCTGCTTTACAGACTTATAGTAGTTAGTGAGGATGTCATAGTAATGGTTGTGTTAGATTTGAATTCAATGATAAATCATTGTATACAAAAAACGATTCCGAGGAAAGACGGTGCATAAATAATCTATAATTTATTAATTTAAAAACAAATTAATAAAAATCGAAAACATCTCATGGTTTATAATATGTTACTTCGATAGCGTTGCGTGCTGGTAAACTTTAAACTTAATTTTTTTTAAACTAAAGGAGAATATTTTATATAATTTTCAAATATTAGCTATAAAATTTTTTTATGAATATCTAACTGAAAATTAATTCTCAAATCTTCACGATTTTGAAGAATTTTGTTAACATTTGAACTGTTATCAAAAAAAACGTATAAGGGAACCTTGTATTAAATTTTCAAACCTTTTTAACAAGTAAACATTTTTTCATTTATAATAATTAAAAAAAAAAATTATAAATTTCAAAAGTTTCTCATGGCTATAAATAACTCAAAAATTCATAGAGTTATTGAAACATGAAAAGACAATTTTTTCGAACGTCAGAAAATCATAGAAAATATTGTGAATTTACCTTAAACTTCGTTTTATAATTCCGCTATTAGGAACTTTTGTGGGACCTTGTATACAGTTTTAAGTTTTTAGACCAAGGAAAAAAATATTTTTCAACAATAATTATAAAAAAGCTTAAAACAATTTAAAATTTCTCATGGATAAAATAACTGAAACACAGTTAAAATATTTGGTAAATTGTATAGTGTATAGAAAATGATCATATTAATATTTGAAGAAAACTTAGAGTATCTACAGTAATTAATTTTTGATTTACACAAAAAATATAAAGCCGATTTTGTCTATCATTTGAGTAAAAATTCCCATTTTTTCCTATTTTGACTTCCGAAAAGTAAATGGGTAAAACGAAAAGATTCACTTTCGTATCGGGAAAAATGCTTAAGTTGAAGCATTTTTACTAACACCCCAAAGTTGATGATTAGACAGATAAAAAAGACACATCATAGTAAAACCAATACATTCATCGCTAATTGTATGAAATCCTTTCTTTTAGAAAAATCTTGTTTTTAAACGATTTAAAATTATGTAACAAAAATGTTAATCGTTTTTTGGAATAGTGAGTTTCTTACGTTAAATGGATCACTCTGTACGCGTATTGCTTTTACATACATATAGGACGGAGGCCGCAAGAATAACTCTATTGCTCCTACTACCTGTCTCGGGGAAAACGTCGAAACTCCATTCACTTATGCAATATAATGCGACATTTTGACTACGGAAATCGAATTAATGTAATGAGTCATGAGTGTACTATACGAACGCGCGTTTGTAACGTATATAATATGAAAAATGTTATTATTACACGTCGTCGAAATTATCTCTGTAGGGGCACGCTCGTTGAAACGCAATAGCCGAATATCTCGTGTTTAGCTTTTCGCTTAGATGAAAATGTTGGGCACCTGCGAGAAAACAAAAATATATTATTGTTATACATATTATACGAGTAGGTACATATATCTTGTGTAATTTATGCGTGTAAAACTGTCGTAATATAGGTATGGGAATTCTAGGAAAAAGCTCTTAAAAAATCCATTATTGTGAGTCATGGCCAAATGTACAAAAAATAGTGAAGTATAGGTAAAATATGTTTTTATCAAATGTAAATTATAAATTTGCACTAAAAACCCTACGGCGCGTGTCATGCAGAAAAGTAGTACATTTATGTCTTATGAACGATTCTCTAAACAAAGAATACAATAAAATGGAAAAATATATAAAATAAAATATAACTATTAGACCTCCGTGTGCAATGTTTCCATAACAAATACTTCAGCAAATAAAAGTCATAAACTATCACCGGTAACTCTAAATTTGCAGTTAAAGTATAGGTGCCAGTTTTTCCAATTTTCTGAACTTACATAAAATTTGAAAATTAATTTAATTTTAAAACATTTTTGTTGCTATTTTAATTGTATATAAAATAAATTTCCACTAAGCTACTGCCCGATACCTTTTTTAGTGGTGGGGTCTCCCATGGTTGATACCGTGTATTATATCAAAAAACATGACTTCACAGGAAAAACTCTCACGCTTCATGGATATGTCGAATTTCGATACTATGTTTTTATCAAAGATGAGAACTTCTTTTTCAGATAGGATCAAAGTCCGAATTTGTATTTTACTTTAAATTGTGCTAGAAAAATACAAAAAATATTGTCTATATTCAAATGCCTATTTTATCTCTGAAAATTAAAATTTTGAAAATTGGGTTTTGATCCAACCAGTGAAATGTTCCCTTCTTTTAAATAAAAAAATTAACAAAATCCGACTATTTTACAGACATGAGAGTTGTTCCTGTAAGACATGTTTTTGTACTAAAAACGCACGGGCTTTGACGCCCTGAAGACGATTAGAGGACGCTCATAATCTGCTTTTTAAGGGGTTTTATATCGGCAATATGAATAAGGTTTTGAAAAAAATGAAAACTAAAAAATCTTAAATATATAAATTTTAAATTCCTACTAATTCAAAGTAACTTACAAGAGGTCCCATGTCAGAATAAAATTGTTGGTTGTTGATTATATGAATCACAAGATTACATCGAAAAATGGTTTCACACGAAATTGAACCGAAAGTATAGCGTGACTTACGCTGCAGTCATATAGTAAAAACCAAATAGGTATAAGCACGATATTATATTTTATCATATTTTGCTATGTCGTTGCAGTTTTATTTTATTTTGTTTTGGAAATCCCCAACATCAAACAAGTAACTAGTGTTTTAAAATCCATTATTTTTATGTTTTTCAAAGTTCAGCAACTTTTTTTTATATTTTTAATGATTTATAACAAAAAAAAAACTGTAAACACAGAAGTCATAGCGTGATTTGTAAATTTCTAGACTATTTATTTATTTTCATTTATTCTTCGAGGTGATGACTATCGTAGCTCGAATGGTCTATTTTCGCGCAAAACGGATTTAGCAAACAATTCGTGGTGGCTTGGCGTCCTCTTAACCTTAAGTCTTAACTATTAGCAGCGATCGTTTCATAATTAAACGTTAATCGTTGTTGCATCCACGCGGCGTGCTCGATTATGTCTGCAGAGGCTTTAATACCTTCGTTAAACAGTGTGAATAATAATATTCATTCATCGCGTGTCACATATAATTGTTGGTGTCTTACCGAATCGTTTGATATCGTAGTAGAACGTCTCTCGACCTCCTATAACGGCGTAATTCTTGTTGTCCCTGACTAATTGCATTCCTTTCTCGGTAGACCCTATTAGGTATTCTCGTTGACGGGTCACGAGCTGTGACAACTCTTCGTACACGCCTGTGCCGTTCTAAACGTTTCGCGCGGCTAAGTACGCAATTTATATAAATATGTGTATTACGTATTGTGTGTGTGTGTGCGTTTTAATTAATTGTTCGGGTAACGCAAGTACACATAATAATAATAATAATAATAATAATAATAATATGTAGTCAGATATGCATCCAAAGTGTGTACGTACAAACGAATGCATATTCTGACACTCACTTCTAACATCGCTTGCGAAGCGCTTTGGACTTCGACCAACAGCTGAAGGCCGGAGTCACGCATAGCTTCCGATAGTTCATTCAATGTATTGATAGGCGGTTCTGTCAACGACAACAAAAATCATAGGGATTATTTTGTATAGACATTCAACATAATATACTCTAAACACAACACTCTAGGAACACGTTTTAAAAATACTATTTTAGTTATTTTTAATAGTATCACATTTACATATACATATCGTTCTGTAGTTATTATAGTATATAATGATTGTATAATGTCTACACTCTACATCTATATAACTTTGTTCTCTAGCTCTGCCCCCAAGTCGCTCAAATTTAAAACTACAATAATAAAAATATATAATCACAAATAAAAAATTACCTTTCGGTGGTCTTGCCAGTATTGACGTTAGACTAGCCGAGTACATGTCGCCAATCACGTAAGTGACCGATAACATTAATAAACCAGCCACAAATCGGATTTTGTTATTTTCCGATGGGATAATTGCAGCTGTTAAGATAGTTATTAATCAATAGTTAGTCAGTAGAACGAAAAATATGTACAAAATATTATGGACGTTATGATAATATGTTTCCGTTGAAACTTAATTGCAATCGAAAGAGTCTACCGACAACGTTTGAAGAGGATGATAGAAATCGAAAGGGTTTAATGTTTGGGTATTTTGTTCGGAGCCCGGGTATGATTATTGTTATTATTATCAGGGCAAAAATACGGCGTATCACTATATACAAACAAATAAACAATGCACATTTAAAAAATATTTAAAACATTTTTTAATGATAATATAGATAATGAATCGATATGCAAAAAGCTTAAAGATTTTAAGTTATGGCGCAGCTAATATTTGCAAAGTATATCTGTTCGTATTTAATATGTATCGATGAAGTGTCAAATAATATTAGGTCTGCTGTGTATTATGAATACTGCCTATGTGTATAGACATAATATTGGAATTTTTAAATGTACAAAATATTCTTCCCAAAGTACCCACTTATATTTATTCAAACTATGTGAAAATGAGTTTAGCCAAATAGTATTGAGTATTGGGTATTGACCAACCTACAGAGGTACACACATTCATGTAAAAACAATGCGGTATAGCGGGCAGTCTGATAATTATTATTGTTTTCTAAAATAAATTTCCATTGACATATTAAACAGGCCCGTGGGGTCCAGTAAACCCTCCACTACGCACTACACACCACTGCACGATTGATATTTAAATCAGTTTGGCAGGGATACGACATTATTTAAAATTGATTAGGTATACATGGTATTTATTAATTAACCGGATATTATGATATGCACAATGTAGAGCGAATTACGTCAGCGATTCTCAATATATTATTTTTATAATTTTGTTTTACGCGTAGAAACAATTTGTTTTTTTTTTTTCTATAAATGACCGACAGAAATCCTTTGGCCGGCGAACATAAGCTGTCCGATGTTGGCAGAGAAACGTTTTCGTTCGGAAAAGTGTATTAAATGTTCCTTTCACGTGATTAAAACCGAATTGGATGACTGCAGGCAATATGTATTATTGTAGTATAGCTGTTCCATTGTGTCGCTTTTTGTTCCAATTTTGCACTTTTCATTTTCGTTACTTTCATTGAATGCTCACGTACGTATACAAATCCAATACCTTTACCTACATGCATGTGTGTAACTGTCAACGTCAACTAGACAACCACACCGATAAGTGACAATAAGACGTTGAAACGGAATCGACCGATATATATATATATATATGTATATCTATGCAGACAGTCTTTGACTGGTTTCTTAACCTCTCAATAGATTTTAGAAATTATTCGCGTACGACAATTTACGGGGTTATACCTATATATTTTATTAAAATTGACCTTGAATCTACCAATCTTGTATAAAAAGCCAGATTTTATACACCATCTATGCAGAACAATATTATGTTTCACAATGTTCTAATTGCTGACATCACTATATGTATACCCACGAATATGATGTCTGAGAAAAACCATTTTGTACACGAAGGCTGCTATGGTGTTTAATATTATGCTATACCGTATTATATCATGTATAATAATCTGCAAACTATTATAATTTATAATATATTAATATATGATGTTACACAATAATATAATATGATATGGTAGGTATACCGGAGACATGGGAGGGGGGGGGGGGGTCATGTACAAAGTGATGTAAAATATTTTTTTCTATTTATACAATACACATAGATATTATAATAAATGTAACTAATTGTTACTTCAGGGCGCATTTGAAACAATTGTTAAAACAAATAATGGTTATAGGTTTACCGCCGAACATTGGCGTCTGTTAAATGTAAGCGTACAGACACGGCGATACATGTATAATAAATATGTGCCTACGATGTAATTTCATAAAAGTTAATATAATACATTACCCTGTTGTAAAAACACAGTAACAGACCACCACACGCACTTCCAATACAACATAGATTTTCCTTGGGGATGGCCGTCAGTCGTGTCGACTAATATGTAAAGTATTGGTCCGGCAAAAATAACTGTGATCAATAACAATGGCCAAACCTGAACAATCCAAGTGCACATATAGGTTGGTATTATATTATTATATAGGTATATTATATTTGTTACGGCGAAACAAAATACAATTGTTATTCGTCTATTTTAGACAGACCTATACCTGTGAGTTTATGTGAGTGTATTACATTTTTCTAATTATCGTTGTTCTGCAGGGCATATGATATAAGTATAATAAGACTATATGAGTTATACATATCATGGTAGGTACGAAGTATATTCCAACAGTTTTCTCAATAATGTAATTCAGTATTCATTGTATGAAATTACATAAAATAAATCAATTTTTTTAAGGCGTGGTACCTATATACCTACAAAATCTATAGTTTTCTGCATAGCAGAGAATTCGTTTCCTCGTTCTCTTTAAACTTTGCATTAGGTTAAAATGTATAGCATAATATAGGTAATATTACATAAAAACTACATCGTATTTAGTGGTTGCAACAAACCAACAAAACAGTACCTATCTATTGGTATACCTATAGTAGTATAGTCTAGATCTACCACACGGTTTTTTGTCTCTTTTAATTAATGATTTCTATAATTTTGCATAATAGACCTCGTTTTTAAAATCAACTTCAACGCTACATAATATTTTGCATTTATAATTTAAGAAAACAATTAGTATACTAACATAGAACAATGAATATGATAATTACGCGAGTAATTAATTAACGAGTATATATTAATTATATATACAATAATTGGCGTTTAACTTACCGACCAATGAAACGGTCTGATGAGTGAAAATGCTTCGTTCAAACGACCAGGCGCATGTGTCAGGAAAGCTTCATTGTCGACTAATGTAAGGAATGAAAAGTCTACAACCAAATTGCGCTCGTATGTTATAGATAAATCTCCTACGAACCAATCTGCTTCCTTCGGTGTTCAATAATTTCATAATTTTAATATTATTTTCGGTTTTAGATTACCTATTGGGACTTGAGAGGGTGTCACACAATTCATCTTGTTAGTTATCTTTTTCGTTTACGTGGATATATAAGTCACATAACAAAAACATATAAGCTACCTATATCTTATTTTGATAAAACAGTCTTTTAAATTTAAGACGTATTCAAATTTCAAATATAATATAGTGTATAACATCATGATTCATAACTAATTACGGTTGTAAGTACCTATACCTACCGTTGTTCAAGAACAATGTTACTATTAACACCGATATGAATATTTAAAAACTGACAAGTTTGAGTTTGCCCCTAGGATATCCTGCCTTTGAAGATCCGCTTGAATCTATTACCACGTTATTTCTATAAATTACTTGTTAATGGTAAAAAAAAATATATAGAATGTGAGTATTAGTATTTTTAAAGATTTAAGAGGTACGTAAAATGAATGCTCTCTAAAATGTTATGAAGTTAAAAATTATAAATAGTGAAATTGTGTTAATTTTGAATGACAAAGATGACAAACTTTAGTTTCATAGTATATAGATAACTGTAAAGATTATTTTGAGTTTAGTATTTTAATACTAGTATGAAATTTAATATGAAACAACATTTTATTTTCTGAGAAATACGTATCAAATGGTTTTAATAATATTAGTATAATTCTATAGATGATTTGAATTACAGATATATTTATGATAATAATAATTTGTTGTGTTTACCCTTTGCCATATCAAACCCAATACTCCTTGCATTGATGACCCGCGATCGAGTCCTGAACCTTGTGTACGATCAGGAGGATCTATGTATCTGAATCTGTATTATATAATTAATAATTTTATCATAATAGTAAGTGAAAAGTGTCTTGTTATCAATGATTTTCATAAATTATTTAGAGAAATGTATAATTGTATATATACTGAAAATGTAGCTTGTCGGCCAATAGATTTATGAGTTTATCGTCTCGTCCACCCTCCACCCGAAAACTGTCGTTCAAATATTCGACGAATGTCCATGGTGGCTTCTATAAATAGAACATTAATAATTAAAACAATGTTTAAATTATACAAGGATAAATTGGAAAATAGCAATCAGGACATCCTTGCAAGTTTAACAATTTGCAATATTATAGTCCATACTTGTATATGGAAATAATCCATTATAATCAAATCCAAAATTACAATTTGTGATGTTCTTATTTAATATATTAGTACCTAAATAATAATATATGCATTGCAGACCGAAAATTACAAGTTAAAATTAAAAATTAAAATTCAACATGACTTAAAATATGAGTTGTGTATATAATTTGACACACATCTCACAATTTCTTAATATCGAATTTATATATTTTAAATTGTTGAAACCTTTATCTGCGTATGGATAATACCACGGTAACAGGGTTCTGTGATCTATAGATGGCGAAATACTTCTTCGGTAATGATAAATATGTACATATTTCAAATAAAAAATGAAAAACTATTATATGCTCGTTGTGTACGCTGCAGTTAGATGTAAAAGAATCGCAAAGAAATTATACGTATTAGGTAGTTCTATACTAGGTACATATTAATACGTATATACACGCGTTTAGCTTGCATGTTGTACATAACGTTGTTTAAATACATTTACATTTTTATGGAGACTGTTATTAGGGTGGTGCGCTTAAATTTATTTCGTGAATTTATGTATGGAAATATTCAAAGTGCTCTCTCTATCTATCTATATATACACACACACCATGGCTCTTGTATAATTTTAGTTTATTTATAAAACGTACATGTAAAACTGGAACGTTGAAATATCTGCCTTCGAAGTTCTTGTACACCTGTTTGGGCGGCGGTAACAGCGGGAACCTCACCAACCCGTCCATTGCTGACCACCAATTTACCATTTTCAGGCTTGATCCGTACCCGGGTCTGGCGCTGGCCTGACTGTAATAAATCTGGTAGCTAAAAATAAAGTGACGATACATCTCATATAGAATAGTTTGCACCGAACGAACATCGCATACCTATGTATTATGTGGCTCAAGATATTGTATGGTTAAGAACATAATATGTATTATACTTCAATAGCTCAACTATCCCAAACCTACGAGTATTTACAAGTACGAGAGTACCTTATATTATATTATTGTGCAGGTACCGTGAGTGAGAAAAACACTCCGGTTCGATGCCAACGTGGGTTTAAATTGAATTAATACTGTTTCGGTATCTATGTATTACGACGGGATTGTGTCAGGGGACGAGATCCCCAAATTTATTTTTCAATTTTATTGCAATAACTCCGCTGCACCGCCCATTAGATAATGTGCGTCTTGGGAAAAAGTTACGTTGTTGATATCCTTCTCATTCTCGGCACCCGTCTGCCGAGTGGGGTCTCTGTGGCCCGAAAGTCGGAGCTTATAGGGTGGAAGCACCGGTGTAACGATATTGTTATTATTGTTATTATTATTGATGAGAGGACTGCCACACTCACAATCCCAGTCTGGGACTGGTGATGACGCACACGCGCATCGCCTCCAGTATATCAGCCTTGAACGTTCGACTGACGGACGACCGTAACCATAAAAACACGTACACGACGTTCCGAGACATCAAGTTACTTCTCCGGATCTGTGTGAAAAACAGAAAATCGCAGTCGCGATGTAAACCGAGTAAAACGGTAAATATTTGTATATATATTGACATTACGGCCGACAGCAAGTTTTCCATGAGCGCAGACGTCGATAGTACTATGTAAGACGTGTGATGTCCGTCGGCCACTGCGCGGCGGATATCGATCAACAGCTACATTTTGAAACAATAAACTATTGTTCACAAATTTTCAATTTATTGTATGCATATTTTGAACACGAAACTACATAAATATCGGTGTAGTGTAATCGAGCTTTAGAAAAAAATAATTTATATAAAAATATACATATTTAAATAAAGGTATAATAGGTATATTATATTATTTTGTACATTTATATTTTATAGTAATTACAACGAAGACATTTATCATCCTGATATATTATTGACTATTGTATATTATTACCTGCGGGCAACAATAATATTATATCGCGAAGCATGTACTACTACCAATAATAATCCACGCACTCAAGTATTGCATTTTTAGTTTAAGTGAGTAGTAAGTAATTGTATGTACGATGCACGGACAGTTTATTATTTTGAGGGCAATTATATTATATTGTTTTATAGTGATGGATAACGATAGAATACTTTGAATTGAAGGTACTATACATTTTAAACTGGGTCAATAGGATAATGAATATTCATTAATATTATAAAAAAAAAATATGTGTATAGAGATACGTCAAGTTATTTTAGTAACGTTATGATAAAAACAAACACAATAGAAATCATTCATAATACTACAATAAACGGTTTAATCTAATGAAAAAAAAATTTTTTTTTGCGCACTTGGTACGAATAGTATATAGGGTGATTCGCCAAGCACGATCACTCACATTTTTTTGTACAATGAATTTATTCCAACTCTAATTTTTGGAATTTGTACCTATACCTACTTATACTTAAACGCTGTGTTTACAAATACTGGGAATTTTTATGCTATTTAAATATTGCCCCATATCTATGCAAACTTACTTGTGTAAATTTTAAAGCAGATTAGTTTCAGAAACATGATATGTATAAATCGAAATTTGAACGAGTAGATTCTGAATTATTAAACTTTGTGTATCAAAAAGATAATACTCCGTGATATGTTTAAAGATATGGGGTCTATCATATGAAAATTATAGTGATTAATATTAATATTTTATTAGTATTGTGTGTTTATAAGGACTATCTGAGTATAATAAGTAATACTTAGCAATTAAGTAATAATAAGTAATATATTAGATTGAATATTATATTTATTTCGAATTGGATAATTTAGTATGCTTGATAGGTATTTAAAGTTAAATAATTCAGAAACTATCTACTCGTTCGAATTTTGAGAAGTTAGGCGCGATAATATTTTAAAAAAATATCACTTGCTGAATAACTTTAATTTGTGAATGGTAATTTTAATTTTAAAAAAGGAATGTATCGCTACATGTGAAACTCTTTTAAATGATATAAAAACCCCAAGTATCTGAAAATATTACGATTTTTATTATACTTAAAAATTTAAAATATAAAAACTAGTTTAAAATATTATATTATTGAGCTATATAAATGCATTATTCGAGGATGTAAGTGGATAATGGTGAATCACCTGTTTACACACGTCCTGGCGGTCCTGCAGTATTATAAATACAAATTATAGAATTTATCAACATATAATCTACACTCTTCTCCCGACCTTCCAGAATATTATTTATTATTATATTTTTAAATGACACACAGCATTCATCATCAACGAGAGTAGACTCAATGTGTAAATCATTCAGCAGATTACTAATTAAAATTTAAAATCATATTAGAGTTGTCAGCCAGATGTGTCTTTTTGTTGACAAAAAAATCTATCTTAGATAGTTCCCCGGTTAACTAATATCCTAATTAGGTCCGTGTACCGAATTGTGTGAGGGCCCCGGGCACATTGGAGTACGTTTAGTATATAGGTGTATTTGTGTATAATGTACTCTAGGTCTGTAGTAAGAGTGTGGGGGGGGGGGTAATATGGCTCTGGGATTTTGTTAACTGTAAGTAATTTATTAGCATGCATATAATATGGCATATCATATAGCTCATACAGTGTTTTCGTAATGAAAAAGTGTTCAAAACGATATTTTATTAGAATTAAGATAATATACTCATTATAATATTATATAGTGTAGGTATATACCAAAATAAAGTATGTACTAATTTTATTTGGCCATTGGATTTTAATCTTGTCCCGAATGGAATTGTATTGTACGGGCGCTCTTGGACTTATTAGTAGTATCAAGTTCATTTAGCTTAGCATTAGATATTTTGGTGCACTTATCTCAATAAAATAAGGAAGAAAAGTTTTATCAAGTTTAGAAACGGGTTTATTTTCGACGAAAATAGTTGTATTTTCATTTTATTATAGTAGTTCCAATCTTATATCGTCATAAATCGTATACATGCGTATAAAAGAAAATAATACAAAAATATGTAGGGACCCATAATTAATTAGGAGTGATGCTCAATCGCACATGCCCCATATAGTTTCTGTTAGCCCTATATTTGTGTTTTGTGTATATATTATTTAATGAACATAATATTATGTTACCGATTGTACGTGATCCTCTGACAATAAAGCGTGGTGAGTCGTCGTTACACCCCTTCCGTGTAGGGACTTAATTGTATTACTCAGGAAATCGGCAGCAGCATCTTTATGAATAAATATACAATATAATATTATAGAGGTTACAAGTTACAACACTATATGCGATAACGATATAATGAAATGCTGATAAAATAAAATAACTCTTTTTTTATAATATTACATCATATTTACATGTTATAATGTTTTGAAGTAATTCATAGTTTTATAATGTGTAGTGGGAGTGTTTCTTTATATGTAATGAATAGGAATATTAATAATTAATTAAATTAAATCTGAACATAGGCGTTGTTAAAAAAGTACACAAATCCCAATCCAATAGGATCAAAAATACTATCATATTTTAAAAGACTGTTAACAACTTGTTTAAATAATAATATTATATGCCGCCGATAGATAAATTGGTGTATTATTATTACCACTTACTATTCCCCCCCCCCCCACCAAACTACCTGTTTAACGTCATTGTAACAAAATAATGATGTGTAATATTATAACGAGGCGAGACTCGCGTGCGTCTGCATAACTGTCGGTCTTAATCATTTCGTAGGTCGGAAAACCACTCGGCTTTTAGTTTATTGTTTAGCTAGTAATATTATATTGTCTCGCACTGCTGTACATATATTATTAAGAGTGATTTTCGATCGATCGGATCTTCCACGAATATAATATAAGTTACTTATATAATAATATAGTTATCTTCCAATAATTCGACGGATATAACATATATTGTGCATCGTACTTAATACGGAACGATCACATGGTTGATCGTGGCCGTATTTGCGGGTGGCCGGTTGGGGGGGGGGGGGGGAGAGGAGAGTATGGGAGATGGATCCGCTTGAATTTTTTTTTGTTTTTAATGTTTTGCTTTCCAAGTGAAAAGTATTTGTTTTTTATGGATGGGTATTTTTATAATGCAGAAAAAACACGAGTCTGTAGTAGTAATAGTAGGCGTTATATGTGCTCAAATGTTTATTCTGAGAAAATAAAAATGGCCTGTTCATGTTCACGAAGATACAAACAAAATAAGCTTGAGGTATTAATTATTAATGTAGGGCATGAAATTGGTCGAAAAATATGTCCTAAACAGTAAATCGAAATCGGGAAAAAAATTCCCTAAAAAGTAAACACATTAGAAAACATGGACTAAATACCGTTAACATTAATCACAATGTCATGAAACGCTCTCTTAACATGTAATAAAATCACGTATCATAAAAAAACATAATATCGAATCGAAAAATGCATAGTTCCTTTAAGTCCCCAAACTATTAATATTTAAATTAATTTAATTAAAACAATTATAATAATTAGATAGTTGACAGTCTCATCTAGTTGCCGGGTTGCATGCGAACTATCACTGAACATTTAACGAATCAATAGACAGTGAGCTAAAGGTGCCTTTGAACACGATTTAGTGACCTCTAATCAGGCCATTAGACCATTCAATTTTATTAGTTAATTTAAATCAATAAACTGTTCTTGCAAACCGACAACAGACTTCTATATAATACCGCGGTACGGCATAGAAATCTGTGTTGACAGTCGTACTTTCGACACCCGAGTGAACGGCCAAAGTGCAGTCGACCGTCATGGCCTCGACGATGTCGCGGATCGCGTTCGTCAAGTTGCCGTAATCGAGGTCGCGCCACCCGCCACCGCCAGTGCCGCCGACGACGGCTCGCCTTTGACGACGCAAAATGTTCAAGTGATGTCGGTAATCGTCTCGTTCCGGAATCGCCGTCGTCGCCATCGTCGCTGCGGACAAGACATCATGATAATATTATGATGTATGCATTACACATTACCGTCGACGACGTGGACGTCAGACCCGCACAGACCCGCACGGACCCACTCAGACCCACTCAGACCCACACAGACCCACTATACTCGGATACACTCAGACAAACACATAGCTGAGTCGCGCGGATACGTACCCAGCGCGGTGAGCAGCGTTAGAGCGGACAAGCACCGTTCTGCCGTGGCCATGCTTCGGCCGAAAGTGTGCGGTTTTCTTCTTTCGTCCGTCGCTGTTTTTCCACTCTCGACACCCGTCGACGACGACTTACCGATCGTCATCGCCGGCACCGAGCTCGGGCTTACGAGACGAGAGACAAGACCCGTTCATATTTCATTGCGCCCCCTATTACCTTGTCACTGATATAAATAATATAATAAAATAATAATACTCGTGCACAACACACACACACATACACACATAAAAATGTATAATATAAATAAATAATAAAATATATAGCGAGTGCAAGCGTGCAATATTGTGCTGCCACGTCTCAAACACACACACACACACACACTCGTGAACGCACGCCATACTTATGATATTATTATATTATACTTCACTATAGTTAAATATCATACTATATATATATATGCGTAATGCGTGTGAGTGTGTGTGGCATTATGCCTATACACACACACACACACACACACACACGAGGTTAAACATCGCCTGCAGACTGTCAGCATTAAATATTATTAATATTAAATATATAATGACCATGAGTCCGCCGAGTCGTCGTGTACACGTTGTTTCAATAATCGGTTCGTTATTAATGTCGTATACGCCACGCAAAGGCTTGACGTATAAAACAGATATATTTCGGTTTCCGATTCTCTAACCGTCAAACAAGTAAATTATCGATACCTGCTGTATGAACTTTATTTAAATTATTCTTTTGGTGACCACGATGACGAGTACTGCACAAAAGATAATTAAACTAGGTTCAAACAGGTTTTACACAATACTACTCTAAAGTTACTTTACTCTGTAACAACTGACCACGATAACGAGTACTGGACGAGAAAGTAAGTATTACAGTGTCTTAATATCTTTTTCAAAAGTGTTTTTCCACCGCAAACGACTCTTTACACTCAAGATAAAATATTCTAAAATAGTCGAAAATAAAACAGTAACACTTGGTTAAAGGAATTAAATATAATATATTAAAGAATATCAAAAACAAATAATAAAAAGAAACGTCAAAAAACTGCTTGTTAGCCTCGACAATGAGTGATCCAAAAACTGAACAGCCCCGCTCCCGACACAAACGTAGCCTTATGTAGTGGTAGCAATTTTGCTGATTCGGCTTTATTCAATTTTGCATCATTGTTTTAATTTTTTATAATTTTGTTATGTATATGTACAACATTAGCTAGGTAGGTATATTAATAATAATATTATATAATATTATATTATTATTATTAATAATTTTCAGTTTTTGCTCGTACGAAACCGCTGTAATACACGCGTAACGTCAAAATAATAAAAATAACATAATACTGTTACTATCGCATGTCGTTGCAATGCGATGATATTATGACCAGTGACCACACGACATCGTAAAAAAAAAAAAAGAATAAAAGGCGCCCACTCGGACTCCACCGGTAACTGAGATTTCGTTGCTGTACGCACAATGCGTAATGTGATTAACTGTAATGATGTAACGACTTGTATTGTGCTCGAGCTGCAATGTCGGCTATAACGCACAAGCACAATAAAACGACATCATATTATGAGGCAGGTTATATCGGCACACAGGTATTATCGTATGATATTAGCATGGTGGATATTGTTATTATTTCAGCGGTTCTGCAAACACGTCCCTATAGACTTATTGGACGCGTCTTATTTTTCGAAAAACCATCGGCGTGGCGTTTGCATTTCGGCGTCTGTAGGTGTATCCATCTACAAATAGGTAATTAGTTGGGTATACCATAATAGTATATATATATATATATATTATATAAAAATCGCAGTGGAGGTAACGTACTACATAAACGGCGTATATTTTAAATAAATATATTATTAAAATAAACTCTGGCTTTTAGGCGTGGTCACGATTTCGTGATCCGACGCGACGTTGTGCGATTTCATTCTTTTTTTTTTTTCCCAGCACATCGGTCCGTATCCCTATTACATGTACGCAGGCGTATTATTATATACATATATACACATCATTATTATACTGCGACCGATGCTATGTATATAATATACAACAATATACTATATATATACATGCATAAAGAGTCTCGGTATATACGTACAAATGTGAATATATATATATGTATGAATGCCACACGAAAATTACCGTATCAACCTACATATACGTGCATATATATGTATATAATATTTTACGTGTTTACGCCAATGTGTCTGTATGTGTGTGCGTACGCTCTCGTATAATAATATATATATATATAATAAGTAATAACAATGTATAACAACGCGATACAATAGTGCGTAGAGAAATATGTGTAACACGACACGAATTCGTCGTACGCGGTGGCATATATATATATGGAGGAATGCGCGTGTGTGAGTGAGTACTATACATATATACATACAATATAATACATATATATATTTATACCAGAGTAGAAAAAAAAGCGTTGGCGGTGGTAACTTTGGTCGCTGCATTGTGACGGGGAACGGGTGGTGGGGAACTGGTGTGGTAGGAGGGGTGAGAGGCAATAATCTCGTGATTTGTTATATTTCGTGGTTTTCGCGCGCGTGTAAGGGGATGGTTTTTTTTGTGCGAGCACGCACGTCCCTTCTATTTCAGCTCTATACCACCACACCTCAACGTCTACACACATACACATATATATATATACACACACACAATGCAATGCTACACCATGTATATATATACGCGTATATATTATAATAGTGAGATTTCCCGCAGTCATATTATTATTATTATTATTATTATTATTATTATTATTATTACGGTATAGAAACTCGCCCTTCGTCTGATGACGTAGGTATACACACACACACACACACACACATATACCTATCCACGGATATATATAAAGTAGTCGGTCACCCACCGCCTTTGCCACGGTGCGCGTGTTTCACGCAAACGAATAATAATAATAATAATAATAATAATCATGTTATAGGTAGGTACTGTTAATATATAATATAATATATATAGTAATATGCCATCCACCGTCGCCGCCGCCGCCGCCGCCACACAGACTGCTGCCGGTACTAATGAGTTTTCCCTCTCCGTCATTTTCCACGTTTCGCGCACGCGCACTGTTGCAAAAACGCGTGACAAAATTAATATGTACACAGTTAAAGTGTATATACACGCATTATTATTATTATTATTATTATTATTATTATTATCATTATGTAATACCCGTGTAAGAACTATTGCGTTATACCTGCAGCCACCCACCCACTAGTCCGCCCGACCGCAGAACCACTCAGGTTTTTTTTTTACCCCCTCGAACAATATATAATGGTCTATGCGTACATTGCGTAGGTACGCCACCTCTACACTTGTGTACGACGTTTATTTATTCGTTCATCGACACTTTGTTTTCTCTCCACATAATATTGTAGGCACAATAATATTATACGCGCATTATGCGTCCAGAAATCGAGTGGGCTCGGTAAGTCGCCCAGAGTTTTTCGGTGAAATATAATATAGGTACATATCATTACGTATGCATACCTATACATGCACATCACTTATAAGTTATAACAATTTGTGGCCGCGGTTTTCGCCCACCTCCCCTCCCACCACGACTGGATTCAAATCGATGTCATTATAAAATGTATTCACGATAATATTATACCGGACCCGATTACAAATGTATAATATTATAATTGTATATATAATATGTATATATACGCGTACGGAGACGACGGAATCGTAAAACATGTTGTATTATACAATAGTTGTCGAGTAAGAAAAAAAAAAATTAGCATCCTTCTATATACATTGTATAATATATTATACACACACAAAAGCGTGTGTATATAATTATACTATTTTCACAGGTAGTTGTCGGGAAATTTTCTTTTCCCTCGCGCAGGAGGTCGTTTCAAATTATTACCATTTCAACTTTAATTATACTACAGAATACAGCACACAAACCTCTACCTATATATGTATGCGTCACGTGCATATTATAATAATTGAACGACTACGTCTGCTGCAGCGGCGGCGGCGGTGCAACCGTAGTTTTCTTCGATTGCACCGCGGCTCATATATATTGTGTACAATTTATAATTTATATAGCTACATGTAACATGGTGGCCACTATCTTATATAACGTACTTACCCATGTAATCGTATATATAATATGAATATTCTATAAATATATATGACTATTAATCGTATACCTCGCATACGGTTCGAGTGTGGTATAGTAAAATGGCTTCTGGAACCTCTATATACATGTATAGATATTAGGTACAGCGTCACAATACACTAATTGCTGGGTGCAGCATCTGAATACGATTTTCTCGTATGTTCTCTAGCCGTACAAAACGACGCGGTCTCCCGCAGCATCCACACACCACCACCTTTAATCTATATGCACACACATACCTGCCTACGTGAAAAAAAAAATCAAACGAATATAACAGTAATAATAATAATAAAAACAACGTGGTAAAGTGCTTGTAGTCCTATCCGTATGCACTGCGATGTATAATATTATGTAATTACTAATTAGGAGACAGACCGCCGAATGGTCGCGGGTACGTATATACGTATGTATGATGTATATAAGGCGGCGGGATTAAAAACCGATTAAAATGATTGCCGGTTGCTGCGCGTCACATATTTATAAACGCACACAGACACATAATATAATATTGTTATTATGTATAAGGTCCTGGCCGAGAGGCCTGCGCTGATGGGTTATGGATGGCCGCTTGGATACGCGCGGCGTATAGGTAGGTACGTCCCACGGATGTGTAATTATATT